TTACAAAATTGTATTTGTAAGGGTCCCCTGCCCCTGTACATCCAGAATTTTTTTTTGATAAGTTCTGAATCACCCTGTATATTAATCTGGAATTTTTATTTAATTACTTAATATTTAAATAAACTAGAAACATCAACACCAAAGCACCAAAACATAATTAAATTATATTGTTTTGCACAATATACTTATAATTAGTAAGACTCACGTTCATATCAAATGCATTTCCTGGACATTTATTCACGCCAGAGTATGCAATTTATAGAATTTCTCAACTTTTTTTTTACATAATTTTGTGTCGGTGAGTTTTCCTCCCATAGCACATTTATAGTTTTTCTCCTTTATTTGTAATTATTTTTATGTATTCGTGTCAATGTTAAGATAATATTTATGTATATTATACGCATAAAATTCGCATTATGAATACTGTAACTAATTATAATATATTACTCTTGCTTTAATAGGTCACGAGTTACCGCTTATTAAAATATAAACAATCATCTTACTATTTTTGAGTTGACCATGACAGTGAAGTGTTCTTCCCTTACTAAAATTTATAGTTTTCGTATAAAATTGTGTCACAGTTGGCCTTCTTCGCGTAATCCATTGATCAAATCGTAAGCTTACCGTCTCACTTCACGGTTTTGTAAGTATTCAATGAACACTTCTTAATCTCCGGGAGATGCTGAATTAAAACCGCAGTCGCTATATTACGAAAGACAAATATTATTTTAATGTTTTAATCTCATAAAACAGATTGCGCCTTTTGTTTGCATGCTATACGAAAAGATATGTGATCTCAGTATAGACTATATTTAGACCGATTCATTGATGTGATGCGTGCATAATTTTTTTACAGTTTATAGTCACTTGAATTCCCAAGCGATTATGAGGTGGTTAGTAGTTACGTAAATGTCGTATTAACGTAATATTTTATAATACTTCCGACAAAACTGTGCATGTGCTGGTGTAATAAATTCCGCAGAATTTACTATTACTAACGCATTGAGAAATGTAGTTAATAATCTCATTAACTTTAAATAGAGTGTAAGGGCTTCTTCATTATATACGAAGGTATTTAAAAATGTAGCAGCAAATCAGTGTTTACTGAAAGTACCTATTGTATTTGTCATGCATTAGTTTTTGTCATTATAATAATCAATCAGACAGGGTTTTATTTGTTTATGCAGAAAGTATAATCGGATTACAGCATTTTTTTGCTCATTTTCTGTAGTTAATTTCAATAATATTGTATAGCTTTTATACACAAAACAATTTTGACTTGCAAATACTGAATAAAATAAAATAATAATTGCAAAAGTCACTAGAAGAAGTGCAATTCAGTTTTATGATTATTTAATTAACCTTGATGTATTATGTCCAAAGTTGAAACAATGTTAAACCTAATAACATTTTTTCTATAGTTAAACCAACAGCAAATATTTTTCCTGTTGAATATACTTACTAAAGATATGAAACACAATCCAGCCCAGTATAATGTTTCCTCAACATAACTATTTATATATCTAATCGATCTGGGTAGCCTTATATTTTATTGGTGAATTATTTAAATGAAGTTTCTCAAGTATGGGAGTTATTGCCTCATGATATGCGTTTTAGAGTGAATTAATTCAAATCCGAGATTACTTCTCTCATATAATTCCTTTAAAGTTTGATCTTCCCCATACGAGCTGCATATTTTCCTTGAGAACGCCGTTTTTATTCTTCGAATTTTCATGACAATAAAAAAGCATTGCTCAACCTATGCGTATGCATAATGAAATTATTCATATTTTCAAGGCGCGATATAAAAAATGAGCTAAATCTATATGCACTTGCTACGCGTATATGAATTAACATATTTCACTCCTTGTATACTTTTAATTGTGGCTTCCTTGTTAATATTTAGATTTATCGTCATTAGCATTAGCCTTTATCGTGATATTAATGTATGGGTTATAGGAACGGATCTTAGTGCTGATTTACAGTTTTTTATTTTTAATTTTTAACATAAAATTTCCATATAGCCTATAGGTGGGACTAGAATTGATTTGAATATCAATGGAACTCTAGAATTACGTGTTTTCTTATGAATTCATATATTTTTAAAGATAATTAAATTTTCATGAAAGTGTTTGAATGAAAGCGTTTTTTTTTGTTCATTGATATACACTTTGCTGAAATAAAGTGAAGACTAAATGGTACCACCATTATATTCAACTAGAACATATACCTATACATGATGTTAAACTAAAAAATGAAAAAGTCTTAGTCATTCATTTATTCAGAAGAATTATTATTTTAAGTTGTGTGTCAAAAAGCAGTTTTCGAAAGCACAGCGTAGTTAAAATACTTCACCAAACTAATTAAAAAAGTGTTAATAGTTGTGTTCTGAAACTCTTATTTTTTGAGATACCTGATGTTAAAAATCATTTTTTTTTTATTATAGAAAAGTATTCTAACAAGTAACCTCAGGGATTAATGATATTGTACTAAACAACTACTCTTCGAAATGAAGTCCCTACATCATTGAATTACACCCACAATATCTAGTAAACTCGTTTTTCACCCGTAGTGAAATGTACTGGGTATATGGGATTCCAAACAGAACCTACTTTTTTAGAATTTCATGGTACGTCACGTCCATGATCGTGATCAATGTCAATGAGAAAAATAATCATTTAAAGATCTAAAAGTAGTAAATTATAATATATAATATCTACAAGGTTTAAGTTTATAACTTCATCTTAACGCAACAAACGATAAATGCGTTTTATATTCTATTTATCATTATGTTTCTCATTATGAGTTTTACGTCCAATGGCAGTGTAAGTGATTTATTGAACTCTTGTACGTAATTTAAAAGTTGTTTTGTTAAATAATTAACGCTGAAGTTGTTATTAAATTCTCAATGGGAACTCATTAATTGTATAATTACCTGTCGTATTAATAACGTTTGTGGCGGCAAATAGAATACTACTTTTCATTTTCAGTTTATTGTAACTGACGTGTGCACTGAAAAAAATTGCTCACCGTTTTTAGAATTTCATATAATAATTCCAGTATACGCGAATAACCGTTGCATATATTGCGGCGGAATAATAATCATTTATTTTCAAGGAATTTCACTTCGTATACGTGTTACAACACGTTACATAAGTTATTGTTGTAAAATAAAAAATAATTAAAACGGCGGTTTCTCATAGATGAACTGAAGGTGGATTTCGGGGCCTTCGCGTTTGTTTTCTTTACTAATCCAGGTCAACAGTTTTTAGTTTAAATGTACCAAGAGAACGTCTGTGAGAATCGAAAGGAAACGTTCGGCATCAGCAAATACACGAAGCGTTTTTAATGTTTGTATACATAGTGTACCTGTAGTTATGAGCGTGTTTTGAAATTCCCGTTTTCTCTGAAATCAAGAAAGTAAAAGTTACTTTTTCAGAGATCTCGCGTAGCTTTTCTGTAGCTTTGTAATCTTTAAATGAATCAAGATTTTAATTAGTAGTATTTAGTTTAATAAATATAATGGGAAATATTGCATATGGTTGAATAAAATAAAGTTTGGAAATTGTATCGTTAAGTACCTATTTTCTTTCAGAGGAATAGGTATCTCCTCTTCCTGGAATATACTAAGTATAATTTAGATATGTTTTTATTTGACAAATGATCAAGTTTCAACAGATATAGAGTATTTTTAATGTTTTTTTTAATTCCCATTTTAACTGGGATGAAGAAAGTAAACACACAGCTTTATTTCAACGATATGAATCAAAATTGAAGCAAAATGAGAATTATTAAAGTAAGTTATTAAACAGTCGAAACGCTAAATAAAAAATATATGTACGTGGTGTTACGTATCTGTGTGGTGTTTCATATTTAAATTTCAAAATATATCTGAAATTATGCATCATGACATAATTTGAAGAAATTTAGAAATCATGTAGGATTTTCTTCAAAAAATATCCCATATTTCTGTTAGAATAGGTATACTAAATATAATTTTAATACATATTTTTTATTCGGCAAATAATTTGAATTTCAACAGATTTAGGAAGTGTTTTTTCTTAAAATTTTTATTTTCACGAACATTAAGAAAGTAAACATAACATTTTTTCAAAGCTGCTTTTGTAATTTGAATTAAGTAATACAAATTTAAGCTTTATTAGACATTAATGAAGAATATAAATCTTATTTAAATAATACAGATACAGTGTTTCGTGTTTAATTTAAAAAATATATGTGTGTAGATGTTAAAAGTAATTTCTTTTAAAAATATCACACACCTCTGCTAGAATTTCCTAAATATAATTTGAATACATACTTATATCTTTACTTGTGCAAATATTGCCTACTTGAACCGATATAGGAAGAGTTTTCAATGTTTTTATGTGTATTTTCTTTGTAATTTGAATGAATTAAAAAAAATTTATCAAAAGTATAATATAACATTAGACGTTAGGTATGTATGAAACAATTTTAAAATGTTTAAATTAATATAAGGATATAGTGTTTCATATTTAATTTACAAAATATATTTGAAAGTGTTCTAAAAAGCTTTGAAAATATATCGTGCATTTCTTTTAAAATGTCTCATACCCTTGTTAGAATATCTCGAGTGTAATTTGAAACTGTATGTTTAGCTAATTCCTGTTAAAAAAATTTCAGTTCTGATTCATAGTACCTAAATCGTTTTTACATTTTAATAATTTAATACCAATAATTTGTTATTGTTTTAATATTTTTCATTATAAAAAGTCTAAGGATCTATCTACTGTTACCGGATAGTTTTAATAGGTATTGTTTAAATAGTTACTTACTAAAATAGGTCACGAAGTGTTAGTAGGTCCAAAATTTATTGCATTTAAAATGTATTGTTTAAATAAACAGGTATGCAGAAAGCCTTTGCTCTACATCGCATATCGTAACATTAGTTTCTTCAGTTTTTTTTTTTTTTTTTCAGGAATTTGTTTGTTAGTATCGGGAGGTGTTGCGGGGGCACTTACGTTATCTGGGACGTAACTTTTGTTGTCCATTCTGAGACGGTCTTTATCCACTTGGCCGTAGGTTTACAGTAAACAAAAAGAACTAGTAAATTCCCAAAGATATCATCCACAACACACCACTCTCTTCACTCTCAGCGGCCGGCACGGCGCGGAACAGCTTACTGGCGGCAGCATCCCGAGGAGCTTTTCTTAAATAACTCCTCGTCCGGTTCGGCACCGGTCGCCTGCCCACGACGACGGCGACGACGACGGTTTCGGGCCGTGCATATCCTAGAGTTGGCGGGTTTACCACCTTCCGGCATGCATTGGCATACGCTCGGGCTTGCCGGATCCGCGAAACGGTTTTTTTTCTCTTTCGGTCTGTTCATGAATAAGAGATAAGGCTCGCGAGCGACGTGTTAGAGTTCATACGCGCTGCGCCATTGTTTTCGGTTTTTGAGCAATTTTTTTCTCTTTGCGGTCAATGACTTCGCGATTCTTGTTTAATGAATGAACTGTGGCGTGTGTTTAAATATTAATTTCTTAATCAATGAATACGGTTTTTGCACATTAACATAAATTTATTTTTATTTCTTTATAAAAAAAGTAGACGATTTGGGTAAACTTATCTATACCTACCTATACATAAACGGTTCCAATAAAAGATTAAAATTGAATTAATTTTCAAAATCGTTTTTTTTTCTTCATATCTTTAAGATATTAATTACAAATTTGACATGGACGTCTATAGCTATTATTGTGAGTTCATGGGAATTTGTGAACTTTGACAAACAAATGAAACACTGGAAAATCCTCTACGATTTTTTTGTAAGTATACCTATTAAGACATTTCTAGAATTTTTAGGTGTAGGTAATTTTTTTGAGTGTTTTATCTTGAAAAGTATATAATAAATGAAAATTTCTCAAAGGAATTACTTAACTGAAATTTCTGAAAAAATCTTTATAGGCGTACCTACCTACAAAAAAAGTAGAGGGGAATAGGAGCTTATTGTATGTTAATTTTTACATACAAATTTTAGGGGAATAAACAACATCCGTATCAAAGGTATCTCGAAAATCCTAGGTGTTAAAAAAAAACGATTTTGAAAGTCATATTTTAACTTCCTGTACATTTTAAAGGAAGTATTTTTGTAAATACGCAAGCTTACCAAAATCACCTTATTTTCTATTAACGCAGAGTATGCAATTAACGGATTGTATATGTTTTTTGGGACACCCTATATTTGCACCTGTAGGGGACATCGAGTATAATTGTAGCAATTTTCAGATTTCAATTTTGTCCAAATCAGGTATAGTTAACCTTGGAATTGCGAAAACATGTCACAGAAGGTTAGATATTAACTATAAAATTATATATTAAAAATATACAGGGTGTTTCAGAAAGACCTCTCTTAAATACAGGGGGTGATAGGTACGACAAAAATGAAGAATTTTTTGTCTTATGAACTATGTATATGTGTATCTTCTCTTGTTTTCGAGATACAGAGCGACAAAATAAATTTTTTTAAATAGAATTTTTACGAAATATTTTTATGAAATTTGGTATGCCGGGGTTTTTAAGGATGCCAAATAAGCTGGTCTAATTATTTTTTGGATATTTCATAGAGGGCGCTAGTTATGCAACGTTCCTATTACATTTTAAGTTCTAATTTCTTTAAGGTTAGGTTTTTTACAATTCGGGCTCCAATATTTTCTAAAAATAATGTACTCTTGTTAGAACTTCCTAATGTGAACGGTTTTCGGGAAAAAGGCTTTTAATTAAACTCTTACAATATTAATAAAATAAGTGACTTTTCTCAAAGTAGGCTTATGTCAAAACTTTATTGATGGATGTCTCATAAACAACGCATACATTCTTAGTAATATTTTAAACTCTAATTAAGCTTATATTAAAATTTTAGTGATTGTTAGTGACTGTTGTTAGTAATGAGTAATTACATTCATTAAAATTTTGATATAAATTTAATTAGAGTTTAAAATATTACTAAGAATGTATGCAATAAATTTTGACATAAGCCTACTTTGAGAAAAGTCACTTGTTTTATACGCCGTAATATTATAAGAGTTGAATTAAAAGCCTTTTTTCTCGAAAACCGTCCACATTAGGATGTTTTAACAAGAGTACATTATTTTTACACCCTGTATACTATTGGTTTGTCTTGAATACGAACACATCCATCTCCATAGAGTTTATAACATTTGCTATGTAGTCAAGAAGCTTTAATTTGTGAGAATTTTGGGGGAGGTGCAAATGAGAGTAAAATTAAACCATGTTACAAAAATGTATCATTTATATAAATGTGAAATGCGATTATCCAATAGTAAAAGCACTTTTCCTCCTGCATCCAATCCAAGTAGGATGGTCAATCACCGACTATTATGTCACTTATGAATTTAACATTCCTACCATACCTATGGTGGGCATGCCTGCTTCTCCTTTACTAGTACCTATATCAGATGTAGGAATATCCGAAAAAAATGAGGCTGCCCAAATTTTACATAAATATGCTGTTATTATGAAACATATTTCAACTATTGCTATTTTACGATGTAAATATTCTTTTTTATTTGGCATTCTCCAAATTTTTCGATTTTGTAAGCACAGTTTCAAAAAAGTTTAATAAACATGGAAAATGTCTCTCGCCCTAGGAAAAGTACCCCTTATGAATTGTATAAGAATTTATTTCAACGTTATGAAATTTTCCATAAGATTTATTTACCTACCTGTGTTGAAAACATTTAATCAAAAACACATTTTTTTATATACCTAACGATATAAAAATTTTCCAGCTTTTTGAGGGCTTCCCTGTAACAAATTTTATAGAGATTGTGTTTTTGTTTCTCTCATATTTGGTGAGAACCTAGGTACCATTCTTCGAGGTTTGTTACACTGAAAAAAGGATTTATTTGGACTAAATAAATATCGTTTGCCATGAACTAATCCTAGTTTTGGATATTGCCTAGCATATATATTGTGAAAAGTAACTAATAATAAGTTCATAGTTTTGTAATAAATCTTATTTGAATGTTAATTTATTTTTAGTGTAATATCACATTTCGCCTCTTTATTATTAATCTACATATTTTAAGATGTAGATGACATAAGATAATTAGAAATATATCTTAGCTTAATGTGAACTAACAGTTTTTCAGTGAAATAGGTTATTTTAATATTAATAAATGAATGGTTTATAAAAAGTGAATTGTTTTTTTCGCTAAAATTGGACGTATTTCTTTCTTGATTAGTCTCAAAATTATGTACTTTCTCAAATTTAATTAAACTGATAATTAGATAACTTATCTAACTATAAGTTTATAATTAAATTTGAAAAGGTACATAGTGTTGAGACCTACTAATAGAAAAA